GACATGTGGACTGTTTAACACGATTGCTCGTCTGGAAGTTCATACCCAGCGGCTTGTGGTCCTTTAGGTGTTGGCGCTCAAAAAAAAAGTCAAGAGAATGGAAGTTCATTTGCAAGTGGTCAACCGATTAGATTCAAAATGGCCCGGATGTTCACTTTAGGGGGGAGTGTTAGAGTACATCTCATCTCAGAAATCCAAGAGTAAAATAATCTGTATATAATTAAGCTCTAGAGTTGAACTAACTAATCAATTGGATTCAATCTTTTAATGTGGTTCAACCCAAGTGTCTTATTATCCAATCCAGTTGTCTATACTCCATCCTAAAATTCTATCACAAAGTAGATTTTAAGGAATACTAAAGTTGTGTTTTGGTTGGAGAAAATATTTTCTTTGAAAATTATTTTTCAAAGAAAAAATAATTTCCAAAAAATTATTTTCTAATCATATTTTCCGTTGTTTAGTATGAAAGATAAATTTTTATTTAAAAAAATCTTTTTTAAATATTTAAAAACTAACTAAAATTCTACACTTACCAGTTCTAGATTTAAAATTCGGTGACATAGGAAAAAAAATTGAAAATGATAATTTGCATTTTGTGAGTCAAATGAAATCAAGTGAATCCTTTTCAAGTCATAACAATGAAACATATCTTGTAGACTTTGGGTCTTATAGATTTAAAATATAAACTTTAAAATTTAAGAATTTAAACTCTAAAATTAAAAATTAAAAATTAAAACTAAAAATAAAATTTAGAAATTAAAAATTAAAAAATTACAATTTTAAAATTTAATATATTAACTCTAAAATTTAATACTCCCTCCGTCATAAAACTATCTTCCTAGTTACTATTCACACAATCGAACTTAATAGATCACTTTCTTTACCTATTTTCATTAGTCATTTGATAAAATAATATAGTCTTGTCACCTCTTGTTTTGTAAAATTTTTTATGTAGTTTTTAACTATATAAATTTTATTTTTTAATTTTACACCTACAATCAAATAAATTGAATTGAAAATAAAGTTGGTCAAACCTCATAAACACAAACGGGAAGATAGTTTTAGGGCAGAGTGAGTATTTAACATTTAAAATTTTAAAATTCAAAATTTAAAATTTACCCTCAAAGTGTATGAAATTAATCGAATAATGCAACAAATTCAGTCACAACGGATGGAGACATATGGCTGGTTGATGGCTATATCATTAGACAAGTCACAAGTGGGCACTATATTTGCGATGATGGGGCTCGGTATGAAATCTTGACCACTAATCTTTCGGAAAGCTTCAGTCGTGTGTGAATGGAATGCCGATCTCCTCCGGTATACACGATTGTGAAGATAACCTACGGGAGATTATTAAAATTATTTGTTGAAAGGCGGACACACGGATAAACATAGCTACAAGCTAAGCGGGGTTAAAGTTTCTCAAATACGTTTTGTAACGCCCTGAAAACCGGCTTAGTTGTTAGCCGCTATTTTTATAAAAATGAATATATTATTTATTGGCTCCAAAATATAAATTATTTGTAAAGTTGACCATTTTAATTAAAAATTAGGTTTTCGAGTAGATCCCGTAAAATGGTGATAAAATTTATCAAGTTTGGTCTTACGTGTAAAAAGTTATGAGTAAAATAGATGTCAGAGTTTAATAAATAAATCAATTGAAATTATAAGATACTCCGTAATAAAATTATTACTACCTCCTACCCATTATCTTTGTCCACTTTTGACTTTTGGAACTGTTCATCTAATCACTTTGACTCATCAAATTCTCTCAATGTGTAAGCCTAAAAATAGTCATGTGTGATCTTGTTTGATTCGTTTTAACATATAGATTATTAATATATAATTTTTATAATTTTTTAATATACAAATTACAAGATAAAATGGATTAAAGAAATGCATTGGATGGTGTGCCAAAAGGTAAGTGGACAAATACAATGGTGCGGAAGATTGGAAAATATCACCCACCACGTTAATTTAGATGCATAATAGATTCCTACCCAGTATACTTCTCCTATTTCAACATCGGACTTCCTAATTCTTCCGATCACAGACATAGTAGCGGAATTTAGAGAGAGAGAGAATCTGGAGGCATGATCTTCTCCGAACCGTCGCGGACTTCGCCGATCGTCGCCGCCACCATCGTTCTTCCTCTTCATGTTCCGGCTGCGAGACAGAGCAGCGGGAAGGTGATTCTCCGATTCAAGATATCCTAATTCTCGAGTTGGTTCCTCGGTCAATTATAGTCCGAGGGAACACTAGAGCTACTGTTAGAGTAAAGGCATGTTCTTTAGAACTGTAAAAAAGAGTTTGAAGAAACTGGATAAAACTGAAAGGAAGTGGAAGAACAAGAAGGAACTAGAAGAAACTGGAAAAAATTAGAAGGAATTGGACAAAACTGGAAAAAACTGAAAGTAACTGGAAGAAACTGGAAAACCTAAAAAAACTTTAAAAATATTTATTTTAAATTCTTGTTGTTATACATTATTATTATTATTATTATTATTATTACTCCCTGCGTCCTTAAACTTTCTTCCCAGTTTGACTTTTCTCCATTTTTAATTTTTGGCTTTGACTTCAAATTTTACCCTCCTAAAAAAGATTTTTTAAATTTTTTTACAATCATTCAAAATATAAAGTTAGAAGATAATTAGTGTAAATACATGAGGGTATTAGTGTCATTTGTCATCTTTTTTTCTAATGGGAAGGTAGTTTTAGGACGGAGAAAACGGGGAAGTGGGAAGAAAGTTTTAAGACGGAGGGATTATTATTATTATTATTCTCATTATCATTATCATGATCATCATCATAATCATCATCATAATCATCATTATCATCACGTTATCTAAGTGAATGTTTTTAAGATATAAAAAAGTATTGTTATTTTTTAAATACAAAAAACTACTTTCACAAAAACTAATTATAATATAAAGTTAACATATATGTAAAAATATTAAATTTTAAAAAGGTTGTGTAGTTATATTGCACCTCAATTTATTTATGCAGTATTTATTATAAATAATATATTTATAATTATAATTTATATATTAAAACATTTTGTTTTAAATATCATACATGTCACATAATCAAACTTATTGTTTCTTTCATGATTAACATTTTATTTTCATTGAATTCATTGATTTCATATTTTTGGAATAAAGACATAGAACTTTTTTGTTTACATTTTTTATGTTTTATTCATATTTTAGTCTTTTTCTGGAAGGACCTGGAAAAAACTGGAAGAAATTGGAAGTTAAGAGTTCAAGCTCTAAAGAACATGCCCTAAATGACATTATAGTGCAACTCAGCAAAAAAATATTGCATTTGTGAGAAATGGGCCATATTGCACATGTCATGTGTCCACGTTTATGTCGTACTCCCTCCTTTCTCCAGTTTTTGTCCACTTTGACTTTTGGAACTGTTTATCTAAGCACTTTGACTCATCAAATTCTCTCAATGTGTAAGCCTAAATATAGTCATGTGTGATCTTGTTTGATTTGTCTTAAGATATAGATTATTAATATATAATTTCTATAATTTTTTAATATACAAATTACAAGATAAAATGGATTAAAAAGTGCATTGGATGGTGTGTAAAAATGAAAGTCGACAAATACTATGGGACGGAGGGAGTATATTGTTATTGAAACATTATGGTTGATAATATCATTCCATTAGTGTTCTCACTTCAAGCTACTTGGATGCAATCTCCGAAAGTGTTATGTTGCTGCCAAATGAAATGTAATGACATAATCCTGATTACGAATTAGTGCGACCAAATACGGGGCAAAAGTTGCACACAATAGCATGGCTATGCGACCATAAGGCATCATGGTGGTACTTAGTTAAGCTATAGATTTATATGTGTGGTTTTTAAATAGAGTAAATTCCATAAAAAGTCCCCAATTATATGTCGTTTTACATATTTAGTCCTTACATATCAAATATTACTAATTTAATCCCCAATTATTATATTCTTTTCCAAGAATAGTCCTTTGTTAATATTTCCGTTAAGAACATGGATAAAATTGTAAATTCACGCTTCTTTCTCTCCTCAATTAAGCTTCACCTTCCCCTCGCACTCATTTCTCAAACCCGTCGCTGAGTTTGAAACTTTGAACCCAAAACCAAAATCATCACTCTTCTCTCAATTGTTTGTCTAACTAGTGGAACCCAAATTCGAAACCAGTAACCTTCATGGATGAGTTTTAATGTTTTTTTTGGAATTTCTTAAGACTAAGTGATAAAACTCATTTATAAAGATCATTGGTTTTGATTTTAGATTCCACCACGAAGAATAATAATTGAGAGAAGAATGATCATTCCAGTTTTGGGTTTAGAGCTTTAAACTTAGCGACGAGTTTGGGAAAGAGTACGAGAGGAGGGAGGAAACTTAATTGAGGAGGGAGGAAACTTAATTGAGAAGAGAGAGAAGTATGAATATATAGTTTTATCCATGTTCTTAACAAAAACATTAACAAAAGGACCATTCGTGAAAAATGATATAATAATTGAGGACTAAATTAGTAATATTTGATTTGTAGGGACTAAATATGTAAAACGACATATATATGCACTTTTTATGGAATTTATTTTTTTAAATATGTATGTTGAGTATGAATTTAATACGGAGTACTTTTTAATTTGGTAGTAGTGCGTATATGAAGGTCTACTATGAATGTTAGATCTATGTAACAAAAAAAGGCAAGAAAAATTCAAAAAAATAAAATAAAAAATAAAAACAAATAAAATGAATGGTAGAAAGGAGAGTGGTGTACATTTGAGGTACACATTTGGTGTAACCCCTAACATATGCCATGTAATAATTTGCCCTTAATGGAAGAAAAAGATAAAAGAAGAAAAACGGAAACTGACCGGACACTGAATTTCAGGGAAAAGCAGAAGGCAGGCCTCATAAAGCCCAATCAAGCATTGAGGTAGAATTTTGCAGTACCAAACACGAATCGAACCCGCTAATCTACCAGTCAATTTGGGAACGATGGGCCGGGTCGGGTGGGATGAGGAGCCGTTAACTTTCAGATCGCAGCAACACAGAGCGTCTCTTTCGCAATGGGCGAAAAAAACGCGGCGGCCGTCCCCGGAAGAATTGTCGAACTCCTGAGAAATTCACCCAAGTGGCCGAAGATCGTCGACGAAATTGTGAGGATAGAGAAAAGGGCATTTCCGAAACACGAATCTCTGGCCCAATCTTTCAATGAAGAACTCAGGAAGAACAATGCTGGGCTTCTATACATGGAGGCTGAAAATGGAGAAGTTGCAGGATATGTCATGTTTTCTTGGCCTTCTTCCCTCTCCGCTTCCATCACCAAATTGGCAGGTTTCTCTGTCCTGATTTTTCTTGCATAATTTCCACTCTCTGCTTGAGAAATTAGGGTTATTTTTGCTGCCAAAAGTATATTCCTTTTTACCTCCGGAAAATCCCAAAAACACATTTATGCATTTGGTGTGTTTTAGGTAACTATAGTTTCTCCTTATTGCTTATTTTATGTGGATTTTACAGTTTTGGTGTTTGGCAAATGGACTTACATTTCTTGTTTGTTTCAAGCACTTGAAATCTCATATGCTTTAAGTAAGTGTTTATGGAGTACATGATTGTTGCTGGTGCTTATCGCATAGATTTCAATTCAAAATCAATTCGCAATGTGAGGAGTATCTCGTAGAATTATACTCCATCCGTCGGAAATGATCTTACCATTTGATTTTTTATGGTCTCTAATGTAACACTTTGATCATTAATATCTACATTTATACATGGATATATCTTATGAAAATTTAATATTTCAAAACTACGTTTCATAAGAAAACTATTGATGCTATATTCATATCAAAAACTACATGTGTAAGTGTTTTTTAGTATAAGTGTGTGATGTTGAACTATATCCTCAACATCAGCACTTGAGTCCTTTTGCCTCAAGTTCATTTGTTCGTATGCATTCTTCCCATTACGCGTTACGATATTTTTTAGCCTAACATTGGACTATATTTTCAACACTTTTTAAGCACCTAAATTTCCCGTTATCTTTTTATATTTATACATAAGAAATGCATAAAACTATATGGAGTTTCTTTGAATAATTGCATTTCGTTCATTCCCATGGAAACAAACATCAGTGAAAGAGAAGTACAGGAGGGAAGGCATAGGAGAAGCATTGCTCAAGGGAGCCATTCAAAAGTGCAGGGGGAGAAACGTCCAGCGGGTGTCGCTTCACGTTGATCCCTCAAGAACCCCGGCTGTGAAGCTGTATGAGAAACTTGGCTTCCAAGTTGATGCCCTTGTGGAGGGCTATTATTCTGTAGATAGAAGTGCCTATAGAATGTACATAGATTTTGACTAGCCAAATCATGATACAGATCAAGTATATGTTAGATGTTTTTGTGTTGGACACAATTTCAGGCCCTAGAGCTGTATTTGTTGCCTTTGTAAGATGTTTGTATTGGACTGAATTTGAAGTTCTTTGCCTATTTTGCAGAGGTACATCATTTTGCCTACGAAGGTATTATTATTATTTTAACATGGTATCAATCCTTGAGACCTCAAACTAGTTAATGTGAGTTTTCCATTTCTTGGTATTAATAGAAGTCAATGATAAATCATTTTCGAAATCAATAGAAAATGGTATTGGGAGAAAAATAGTTTTTGCTTCTTTTAGTGACAAACATTTTCCATACGGGTGTCAGGATCACACTCATTCATTTCATCCTTTGTTTCTTTCTTTTATATTCATGTTTTACATTTATTTAGATTAAAATTACTTAAAATACAAACATTAAATAAATTTTCATTAAAAATAAAATTGAAATTACAATGAAAAAATATGATAAAAAATAGGCGGATACAAAATATTTCGGGTTATTTTTTAAAACAAAAAAAATTAGAGTAAGAATAACATAAAAACTAAACTTAAATAATAAAGATGTTGGAAAGTTGAGATAACATAGATTTATTTGAGAGTCATAAAATCACTTTCAGATTGATTATTTGGGCCTTCACTCTAAAATAAATCGGATAAAACTCAAATAATTGATCAAGAACAAGTATAGATTGTGATGTATTTTTGAATTTATTGGATTATCGACCAAGCCTTGCTGGATACTTATAGAAGCAGAAAGGGTGAAGAGATGCGATCACATCTCTCTTTTGAACTTCGCGTTTAATCGCGCGAAAATTAGAATAAGAATTCTTTCAAATTTTCTTCATACCCAATTCCGAAAAATAAAAATTGAAGGGAAAAAATTTCACGGACACCAGTCAGGGGCTGCCGCCCCTTGGACTTCGCTCTTGGGGGCGCTGCCCCGAGCTCTCATTAAAATGAGACTTTTATCACAACAAGCTCAATGAAGCATGCACTCCGCACCACCAAATTTTTTTATGATCATTAATTCATTATGACAATATTGGTCAAATAGTAATTCCAATTGCATTAAAATATATAACAAAAGAAAAAACTTCTGAGTAAAAAAGAAAGAAGAAAAAATGAAAAAAATCGACAAAGTAGGAGAAAAACATTGTAAGAAGAAGAGCATAGGGAAAAAAAAGAGAAAGAAAAAGAAGATGAAAATTGTCGTGATGAAAAGATGGTCATCACAATCACGAGAAAGGGAGCGGTGTTCCCTCCCTATCATGGTCCGATGTGGTGGCCAACTCAGCCATCACGGCCCATCACACCCCACGACACAGAACCTAAAATCTACTCCCTTCATTTTTAAATTGTTTCTTTCTTTTTTTAAACGTTATAAACTAATACTTCATCCTAAAATAAAGTTCTTAATTATTATTTACTTTTCGTTTCAATTTATAATGTTTGATCAATTTTATTTTCAATTCAATTTATTTGATTATAAGCATAAAATTTTAAAAATAAAATTTATATATTTAAAAATTACATTAAAAGTTATACTCGTACAAAACTAGAGATGAAATGACTATTTTATTTTATCAAGTGACTAATAAAAATATGAAAACAAAGTGAATAAAGTTTGATCATGTGAATAGTAATTGGAAAGATAATTTTAAGACAGAGAGAGTACTCTGTATGTAATTTTTATTTTTTACTCTCTCCGTCTTAAAATGGTTTATACTATACGCAAAACGGAAAAAATGAAATTTTTTATTTCATTTTATTTAAAGATTAGTATAGAAGTTAACAATAAAACTTACAATATATATTACAAAAGGTGACACAAGTATTTTATTTTATCAAATAATCAATCAAAACTCGCAAATAAATAAAATTTTTTGTGACTTTTGAATTGTAAAAAAGTGTAATTCTTTTTTAGGCGGAGTGAGTAATTCTACTCCAACTTTCAGTTATATTGATTAAAAAATAATTTTAATCAAACATCGTAAATCAATAGATTTATGTGATAAGAAAAATGTCTCTCTCCTAATCAAATTATAATATTTTTTAGCTCTTTTTGGCCCATATTTTTCTTTCCAATTTGGCTTTTATAGTCAATATTTTCAAATTTTGATCATATATTACGAGAAAAGACATTGAGTTGTGTTATAAATTAATATATATAGATTGAATATGAAAAGTAATTTTGAAATTTCTTGTTTTTATTTTTTTATAATCATATATAAATAGAAATGCTAACGACTAAAATATTACGAAGTACCTAAAAAATTGTAAAAAATAAAATAAGAAGAGAGATGTGGGAGGTAAGAATTACACTATTTTTTACTCGTAACATTTTTCAATTTTTCATACGTTACATTTTTTTTCCTCTTAAAATGGAGCCAAAATGAATTCAATTTCCATGGGTTACATTTTGAACTTTTTCCGGATAAAACGGACTTGGCGAGGGAACAGCCTGGTGAAACTGTGGAAGAGCCAAGACCAAAAACGAAATAGAAGAAGAGGAAGCGAGGAAGAGGTTTGCATGAAACAGTTTGAAAGAGATGGCCGCCATTGATGGAGGCACGACAAGATTTGGTGAATGCTGTCAGTCACGGCGGACTCGCAGTCTCAGCCGTTACCCCTAAAACCTGCAAGAAATTCCGCGCCCAGGTTCACGACATTCTCCATCACTCCCATCACTCCTTTCACGTTCCATTTTGATTCCACCTCTATATAAAAGATTAGAGTCTCTAGTTTTCCCATTCTCCGATTCTCCCAAATTTCAATTGTCTGAACAGAAATGGATTTGGAAACAGCTCGGATCTGCACTCAGGAGCTCCTGAAGAAGTTGAACTTTCTTCTAGGGCTAATCGGGCTCATCATCCTTGGATATGCTTTCTGGAAGTACAGAACCTTCATGGACAACGGCTCAGTGAGCCCAGATGTTCACCCTAGCCTCTGGTAAATTTCAATTTTCTTTGTACATCCTGATTTTATTACTTTCTAATGTCCATTTTTAGCTAAAAATTGGAGTAATTTCCCCATTTTAGGGTTAAAACAAAGATCTTCCTCACATTTATAGATCAACTTTGTTCAAGTGATTAAGGGGAAATGATCAAATCTTTTTTTCTTACTGGCATATTCGCAAAAGGTTCCCAATTTTTATGCTAGTTTTGTATGCCAGGTTCCTATATACTTCTGCAGGCATTGCAGTTGCTTTGTTCTGCTTGGCCTACTTAGGGCATGCAGGTGCAGAGACTGCAAATACAAATTGCTTGAGCTTTGTATCCTCTACATATTTAGCTTTTCTGTCATTTATTGCATTTTATGTTTGCACTTTGATGTATTTCTCGCATCACATCCATTAACAACATCGTTTCTGTGCAACTTCAGTGCAATGTTTTGAGCAGAACTTGTGACTGCAAGTTCCATTTTGGGTATGCGTGGAAAACATATAATGTCTTTTTTCTTCTACATATCGCGGTAAATTATTGAATGAACCCACTTATTATCACAAGAAAGCGTTGAAGCAAGTGTTTATTAGTATAAATAAACCACTTTTTGACATCGGAATACAGATCTCACTTTCCTTTTAAACCAGGTTTTTGGAAATTTGTCACCCATTTTTCTTTTTAGAAAGTAAACATATGTAACGTCACCTCTTAATTAATACTCCGTAACAAGTAGTATTAAATAGACATTGATTAGTTATAAGTAGATTCTGTATCTAATGGTTTTTCTAATGTTGCATGATCTAGAGCCACTAATAGTGGATTGAGTACATATATGTTCTATGGGGTTTTTTGTGTCGAAAGTGCTTCGTGCGCATCTTATACTCCTTAATTAGTAAAGTATATGGTTCTGCTATTTATTCTCTTCCTTTTGGAGTTTCGTCTTGAGACATATACACTCTTACACCCTGATTGGAAAGAGGTATTCAACTCTATTCTGCACTCGAAATATTAAATATCACATCAATGGATAGCGTAACAACTTTCTTGGCTGCCGAAATCTGTCTCATTTGACTTAATCAGGGCTTTCCTGAGGACCCAACCGGGGCCATTGATGAGATCAGTGATTTTATTGCTAATAACGATGGACTTTACCAATTGGCTGTCCTGTTAGTAATAGTTATCCAGGTACCTATTCACTTTTCTTTCTTTGGTTCAAAGCATTCGCCACACACACACAATCAATCTTTTTACTGCTTTAAAAAGAAGGTATCTCATTGTGGAAACAAAAGAAGTTATCCTGTTGCAAATTCATTTATTGAAACCGGCTTCTTGCCATGTCTGGCAATTCCTTTTCAGCAAAAGTTTTACATGCTTACCAAGAAATAAGATCTCATGAATTACTACTTACTCGTGGCTTCCTGCAATTTCATTATTTCCCCACATATGCAGTCAGAGTGTGCAGCTATGGCACTGATTCTCAAAACCATTGTTGAGCGTAACAACAATAACGAGAGTGATCCAATTCCAGTGGGTGGCTTACACTTGCAACCTTATTATCGTGTTACGTTCCGTTGATAGCGCAATTTCGATCTCTAGATATACAACAAGGTAAATTTTGTTAGCAAGGAAATTGTTTGTGCATTACTTTTACTGTGGTTTTACATAATGTGTTACCACCTTTTGCAGAAGAATGAAGTGAAGAGCAGGTTCGGATGTCTCTGGCGCATTGCTAAGTATAGAATGTACCCAGATGAATAATGTGTGTATTGTATTATTTGCATATTCTATTCTTTATGGTGTAAGACTGTTTTGTTTCCTGAGAATGAATTGTGACCATTTTTAGTCCTATGGTTTTTGATATCTATCTTATAACTTAAGATTCAAACTAAATTTTATGCCAGAGGAATCAAATTCCGGGCTTCTTTTCTGCTTGTTCACTTAATTTTTAGATGCCACTACATCAGTGAATGAGAAGTACAGGAGGGAAGGCATTGGAGAAGCATTGCTCTAGGGAGCCATTCAAAAGTGCAGGGGGAGAAACGTTCAGTGCGTGTCGCTTCACGTTGATCCCTCAAGAACCCCTGCTGTGAAGCTGTATGAGAAACTCGGCTTCCAAGTAGACGCCCTTGTGGAGGGCTATTATTGTGTAGATAGAAGTGCCTATAGAATGTACATAGATTTTGACTAGCCAAATCATGATTGATACAGGAAAAGTTTGTGTGACATGTTTTTTTTTCAGGCGCTAGAGCTGTGTATTTGTTGCCTTTGGAAGATGTTTGCATTGGACAGAGTTTGTAGTTCTTAGGCTTTTTTGCAGAGGTACATCATTTTACAGAAAATTTGACTCATTCCAAAACCACTTCTTACTTAATTTCTTTGTTAAGTACTTGGTGATAAGCATATAACTTCACGTGATTTCTGTCTCATCTAAACAAATTTTAATTGTATACTTTTAAATATTTCAATTTCTTTCTCAATGAATGTCTAAACATGTAAGGTTTTATGGGATGGAAGTGTATTCAGTGCTAAATAAGTAAGGGGCGGTTTGTTTCAACCTCTTAATGGTTCAGATGTCTGAATGGTTCAGCACTTAATAGTTCAGACTGTTTGTTTCAGCCTCTTAATGGTTCAGATGTCTGAATGGTTAAGAGACTTGCCTCTGAATGGTTAAGTATTATACAGAGTCTAAATGGTTAAGACCTCTTATCTGAATTGATCAGACATTTGCCTCTGAATAGTTAAGCAATATACTAGCTCTTAATGGTTCAATCCTCTTACTGGTTCAGCACTTAATGGTTCAGACCTCTTACTGGTTCAGTACTTACATATTCAGAAGTTGCCAAACAGCCCCTAAAGCTTAATCACTCCTGACCCATAAAAAGTTTGTACTATAATTTTATGGGAGCGGTTCCCATGACTTTGCCTGGCAATGTCATGGGATGACATGGGGGTGCTCCGGTGCCCCGTTTATATAATTGACGGTTCCTACCCTCTAATCTTCCCGGTGAATCTCCCCACCCTGCCTCGACCCGAACACACCCCCATCTCCTTTCCCACAAGTTGATTTTGACTTTGGAGTGTAAATCACGTTCATTCCTATTTTTCTTTCTTTTATATTCTTTTTTTACATTTATTTAAATTAAAATTACGTAAAATAAAAACATTAAATAAATATTTAATTAATATTTAAAATAAAATTACAATGGCATATTGCGATAAAATAATTAAAGTAAAAGTAACATAAATACTAAACTTAAATAATAACGAGAAAGCTACCAATTAAAACAGAAGAAGAAAAAAGACAAACAAAAAAGGGACAAAAATGAAATAGAAACACACAGGCGAATCTACATTTATGAATATGGGGGCAGTCGCCCCCATCAATTTTTTACTCCGTAATATATAGTATTAAAATAATTTTTTATAGAGAATTAAAATAACGACCCCCGTAAAAAATTAGTTTCCCCCCACTGACAAAAGAAAATCCTAGTTTAAAAGTAAAAAATAATCGCTTAAAAACATATACATGTAAAATATTTGAAATATCATAAATATATTATGTTATGATATATTTTATATTTTATTTTTCTACTTTAAAAATATTTTTTTATTTGAATACTTGTTTGAAATTGAATTTATTTATTTTTTATCGTTATCAAACGCTTTAAAAAAATCAGAAGTGCCACCCCTGAATGCCACCATACTATTTAGTGTGTATTTGTCCAGTCATATTTTTTTCTATATCCACCACTGAAAACACACTAAGAAGAAGAGAGACGGTGCATGGAAAAAAAGAAAAAATGAAGAAGAAGAAAATTGCCATGATTGGGGGTGATGATCATCCCACACATCACGACCACGTAGCGGGAGGGCGATGTCCCCCGATGTGGCTTATNTTTCCCCCCCCCCCCCCCCACACACACACCACACAGGCACACAACATAAAATCTACTCCATTTTTAAATAATTTTTTTTTAAAATAATTTTCTTTTCTTTCTTAATGTTCTAAACAAATACTCTATCTCCTCAAAAATAAAGTTCCTAATTACTACTCAAACTAATTCTTCATTCTTAAAGCATTTTCATCCATCATTGCATAAAATAAAATTGTCTACTTGTTTTGTAGGATTTTTGAGTCTACACTAATTTTTACTTATATTGATTTGAACATGACCCTTATTTTTAGACGAAGGTTGTATTCCTTTTCCTTAAAATGGAAGAATTATGTGGTCCAAAACAAAGTTTCCCCCCTCATCAAATACTTGATATAATGACTAGAAAGTAGTACTACGTATGTGATAAACAAATGACCAGTAAAAAAATATGATATGATTGATATATAAGAATTAGTATGAGTGAAAACAGGTTTTGAATAGAAAAGGAAGGACTTTACTGGACACAAAAATAAAGAAAGAAAGTCTTTTTGGAACAGATGAAGTATTTTCGTTACTCTTTCTGACCCATATCTTTCTTTGAAATTTCACTTTTGTGGTCACTATTTTAAAACGTTGACTACAGGAATATGAGATATCAGTAGATTTAATTTGAAACATAGGTATAAAATGACATATTTTTATATTGTATGTTTATATATAAATAGAGATATTAATGATCAAAGTGTTACATTAAAAATTGTAAAAGATCACATGAGAAAAGTACTTTGAGAAGGAGAGAATATCTAAGTCCTTTCATGAGTTACATTTTTTTCTTCAAATGGAGCCAAATTTTAATTCAATTCCCATAGGTTACATTTTGAACTTTTTCCCGAAAAAAAAAACGGACTTAGCGAGTGAACAGGCTGGTGGAAGAAGCACGAACAAAAACGAAATAGATGAAGAGGAAGTGAGGGCAGGAGCTTTGTTTGAAAGAGATGAAGAAGAGATGGCCGCCATTAATGGAGGCACCACAAGCTTTGTTGAACGCTGTCAGTCACGGCGGACTCGCAGTCTCAGCCGTTACCCCTAGAACCTGCAAGAAATTCCGTGCCCAGGTTCACGACATTCTCCATCACTCCCATCGCTCCTTTCACGTTCCATTTCGATTCCACCTATAAATAATCGATTAAAGTCTCTAGTTTTCCCATTCTCCGATTCCCCCCAAATTACAATTGTCTGAACAGAAATGGATTTGGAAATAGCTCGGATCTGCACTCAGGAGCTCCTGAAGAAGGTGAACTTTCTGCTAGGGCTAATCGGGCTCTTCATCCTCTGCTATGCTTTCTGGAAGTACAGAACCTTCATGGAAAACGGCTCAGTGAGCCCAGATGTTCACCCTAGCCTCTGGTAAATTTCAATTTTCTTTTACATCCTGATTTTATTACTTTCTAATGTCCATTTTTTGCTAAAAATTGGAGTGATTTCCCCATTTTAGGGTTAAAACAAAGATCTTCCTCACATTTATAGACCAACCTTGTTCGAGTGATTAAGGGGAAATGATGAAATCTTTTTTTCTTACTGGCACATTCGCAAAAGGTACCTCAATTTTTATGCTAGTTTTGTATGCCAGGTTCCTCTACACTTCTGCAGGCATTGCAGTTGCTTTGTTCTGCTTGGCCTACTTGGGGCATGCAGGTGCAGAGACTGCAAATACAAACTGTTTGAGCTTTGTATCCTCTCTATATTTAGCTTCTCTGTCATTTCTAAACTGCTTCTTGCATTTTATGTTTGCCCTTTCATGTATTCCTCGCATCACATTCATTAACCGCCTCATTTCTGTGCAACTTCAGTGCATGTTTTGAGCAGAACTCGTGACTGCAAGTTGCATTTCGGGCATGCGAGGAAAACATATTGTGTCTTTTTTCTTCTTTTTTTATCTTCTACATATCGCGGTAAATTATTGAATGAAGCCACTTATTGGGACTGCGCGTGCCCTCACCCCAACCCCGCATTAGTATGATATTGTCCGCTCTAGGCCAAGCCCTCACGGATTTGTTTTGGGCATCTCCCAAAAGGCCTCATACTAATGGGGTTGGGTGAACTTATATATTTTAGTCCATTTTCCTGCAGATCCTCTTTCTAGGTCTTGGTCCTATTATTACACCATCACACCGAGATTTATCCACACTGCACAGTCCGCAGCTCACGCCCGCAAGAACTTGGGCTCCGATACCACATGTTGGGACTACGCGTGCCCTCACCCCAGCCCCGCATTAGTATGATATTGTCCGCTCTAGGCCAAGCCCTCACGGATTTGTTTTGGGCACCTCCCAAAAGGCCTCGTACTAATGGGGTTGGGTGAACCTATATATTTTGGTCCATTTTTTCTTCTCCCTCCGGTGTGGGACTTGGAGGAATCCCCAACAATTGTCACAAGAAAGTGTTGATTAATGTAATAAATAAACCTCTTTTTGGAAAACAGCTCTCACATTCCTTTAAACCGGGTTTTTAGAATTCGTTACACGTTTTTATTTTTAGAAAGTAAATATCTGTATGTAACCTCACCTCTTAATTAATAATGAGTATTGTTAAATAGACGTTGATTAGTTATACATAGATTCTGTATCTAATGGTTTTTCTTATGTTGCATGATCTAGAGCCACTGATAGTGGATCAAGTACATATATGTTCTGTAGATCTTTTTTATATTCCTTAATTTGTAAAGTATATTGTTCTGCTATCTATTCTTTTCCTTTTGGAGCTTCCTCTTGAGACATATACACTCTTACACCCTGATTGGAAAGAGGTATTCAACTCTATTCTGCACTCTACATATTAAATATCACATGGATGGATAGCTTAACAAGTTTCTTGGCTGCCGTAATCCGTGTCGTTTGACTTAATCAGGGCTTTCCTGAGGACCCAACCGGGGCCATTGATGAGATCAGTGATTTTATTGCAAATAACGATGGACTTTACCAATTGGCTGTCCTGTTAGTAATAGTTATTGAGGTACCTATTCCCTTTTCTCTCTTTGGTTCAACGCTTTCGCCACATAGTCAATCAATCTTTTCACTGTGTTTAAAAGAAGTTATCCCGTTGTGGAAACAAAAGAAGTTATCCCGTTGCGAATTCATTTATTGAAACCGGCTTCTTGCAATGTGTGGCAATTCCTTTTCAGTACTAGTTTTACATGCTTACCAAGAAATAAGATCTCATGAATTACTACTCACTCGTGGCTTCCTGCAATTTCGTTATTTCCCCACATATGCAGCCAGAGTGTGCAGCTATGGCACTGATTCTCAAAACCATTGTCGAGCGTAACAACAATACCGAGAGTGATCCAATTCCAATGGGTGCCTTACACTTTCAACCTTATTATCGTCTTCCGTTCCGTTGACAGATAGCACACTTTCTATCTGTGGATATACAACAAGGTAAATTTTGTAAGCAAGGAAATTGTTTGTGCATTACTTTTACTGTGGTTTTACATAATGTGTTACCACCTTTTGCAGAAGAATGAAGTGAAGAGCAGGTTCGGATGTCTCTGGCGCATTGCTAAGTATAGAATGTACCCAGATGAATAATGTGTGTATTGTATTATTTGCATATTCTATTCTTTATGGTGTAAGACTGTTTTGTTTCCTGAGAATGAATTGTGACCATTTTTAGTCCTATGGTTTTTGATATCTATCTTATAACTTAAGATTCAAACTAAATTTTATGCCAGAGGAATCAAATTCCGGGCTTCTTTTCTGCTTGTTCACTTAATTTTCAGATACCACTACAAGTAACTTTTGTTCAATTATTTAAAATTTTACCTAAGATCGGTTATTTTAAAGTAACTAGATTTTAACCCGTGTAATGGTAGAATATCACGTAGAGTAGTTCGTACATTGTAATCTTATTATGTAAGTAAACCATGTTTTTATATAATTACGATTTGTTCTAATTATACACGTCGCAAAAAGGCTTTTACCATGTAAGTATTTTACATAAAAAAATTGTACCAACTAAACAAAAGTTGGAAATTCAAGTAATTGTACAAAAAATATATTGTACCAACTGAACAAAAGTTGTCTTGCTGATTTGTTGTCAATTGTTACATACCGACTTGTATATATATTTCTCATAACCTACAAGTTAATGCAAACATTATTAAATTTTACAATTTTTATTTTAAAAACATAACACCCTTTATGTCCCTATTTAATCTTTCCATTAGCTTTTTACGAAATGAAAAATCCCATGGTTGAAATTTGTGTAGAGCAAAGAGGATTGGAATGAATCAAGCAATTTTTTCCATAAAAAGAAATGAAAAAATTAATTTGGGATTTTCAAAAAAGGAAAGTGCAAATATAAAAAGGGACTTAAGGAGTAGCTAAAAATCACCCGGGCAGAAATTTAAAATTGTTTTTGAGATAAATTCAATAATTCGTAAAAGATTAGTGAAATATTCCCAAAAAAAGTTTTTTGTCACAAAGACTTATCTTTATTTGCATGTAATATAGCCGCTCATTTATATAAACAAACATTATAATGTAAAGGCATTTACCTTAGGCTGAAGGGTATGCTGAGCGGAAAAGGAAGGTGAAGGGCGGGATTGTGACGGGAACACCGCCTCCCTCTGCGGGAACGGGAAAGGCAGGGCTCCCTCCTCGTTTTTCCCGTTGGCAACGATCGAGTTTTTTTTGTAAATTACCCGCTAGGGCTAAAAAAGTTCAAAAATATTCAAAATTTACACTATTTAAACACAAGACTCAACTCCTATTTTTCACACACTTACCATTCATTTCTTTGGATTTTTGGATTATACTTTTGGTTTTTAAATTAACACCGACATGAAAAAAGATTAAAAAAAGATCATTTATGGAAAAGCACCCATAAAAAAAGGACTACAGGGATAATATTTGATAGTAGAAGACTAAATATGGAAACCCCCTTATTATAAAAGACCGAATATAATTTTAAAATATGTAATTTTTTTTTAATTCCACCTAATTAAATTCTAAAAAACATGTATTGAAAATAACTTCATTTAAAAATCATAAACTGATACAAGCGATTTAAATTGAGACAATGGGAGTACAATGTACATGAAAAGATGATAATTGGCGATTTGAAAACGTTATCTAATGTGTGTTTCGATGCGATTAAAATGAAATATATTTTCTAATCGCTTCGTCTAAAATTGACATTCTCTATTGCAACGATGTGTAAATTCTCGTGATTTTTACAATCATATTATTTACAAGTTGGTATAGAAATAAAAAATAAATTTAAATATTTAAAAATTACATAAAAAACTACATTAAGTATTTAAACTTAAATATTTAAAATTACATCAAGAACTACAAAAGATGTGACAAAAATACTATACTTTATTAAATTAAATGATAAATGAAAACATTCTAACAAATAAAAGTTATCAACAAGCTTTAGAGCCTCTTCTTTTGGGCTTAAACTCTTAATTTCTAGTTTTTTCCAGTTTTTTCTATTTTCTTCCAATTTTGTCCAGTTCTTCCAGTTCTTTCCAGTTTCTTTCAAGTATTTTCATTTTCTTCAAACTCTTTCTACTCTCCAACCAATCATTCTAAAAAAGATATATTTTTAATGTGATTATTATTATTATTACAACTGTTATGTTTATAACTAAAGTTTATAAATTATTATTTTTCATCTCACTATTTTTACGATGTAATTGTTTTTTTCTTCAACTTTGCAATATGAATTTTTTGTATATTGATCTACATGATAAAACAGAAAAAACAACAATATTTTGAATTATATTAAAAAATTATGGATAAAATAATTAAATAGAATGTTTTATTAATCTAACTTTATATAAGATCTCTCACCTTTCTCTTTAATACTCAAAATTTTCTCATTTTTCTAATTTTTATAAAAAAGTTGAAAGTCAAAATAGTTTAGAGAAAAAAACTGAAATAGGAGTAAAACATATAAAATGTAAAAGAAGTTATATGTCTTTATTCAAAAATTAGGACTTACAATGAAAATAAAATGTCAATCATGAAAAAAATAAGTTTAATTACATTATATGACATGTCTGATATTTAAAATAAAATCTTCTAATATATAAAGTATAATTATAAATATATTTTTTATAATAAATACTGCATAAATAAATTGAGGTCCAACATAACCACAAAAACTTTTTAAAATTTAACATTTTGATATTTATGCTAACTTTATATTTTAATTATTTTTTTGCAAAAGTAGTTGTTTGCATTTGAAAAATAACAATACTTTTTTATCTTAAAGGCATTAATTAAGATAATGTGATGAAGATGATGATAATAATAATAATAATAATTTATAACAACAAGAATTAGAATTAGAATAATATAAAAATACACTAAAATAAATTTTTAAAAGTTTTTTTAGGTTTTCCACTTTTTTGAAGTTTTTCGAGTTTTCTTCCTGTTCTTTCAGTTTCTTCTAGTTTTTTCCAGTTTCTTTCAGTTCCTTCCAGTTTCTTTCAGTTCTTTCTAATTTCTTTCATTTTTTCAAGTTTCTTTCAGTTTTTTTCAGATTCTTCCAACATCCAGCTCTTTTTTTTCTAGTCCTAAAAAATAGGTTCTTAATAGTAAAGAAGTAAATTATTTTGGAATGAGGGGAGTTATGGTATGTTTAACTAATTCACTAGGCACAAGAGGTCAAGAGAGACGCATCAATGATATGGTGGAAGTGTAGAGGAGTGGAAGTAGGATGATTGAGTGGGGAGTGGAAATATTGCTTCAGCCTTCAAGGAGCAAATTGAGCACAAAAAATAGCAAATTCATATTTCCCAAATCATACTCATTCCATCTCCAATTTGATTACAAATTGAGGTTTATGAAAAGAAATATCTCACTTTTTAAAATTATTTTATTTACAAATTGGTAGATTTATAAGAAATAAAAATTACATATTTGTTCATTTTTGTTTTGTAAAACATTTGATATACTTTTTAAATATGTATGTTTTGTTTTTTATTTCTATATCAACCTTTAAATAAAATGAATTGAAAAAATTAAAAATTTTACTTCGTTTTGCATAATGTACTCCTCCCGTCCAAATATTTCTTTTTAAGTTTGTGATGGAGTAAATTACCTAACCGGGTAAACTATACTAGACCGGGTCTAGGATCGTTTACTTGATTCGGAAAGTGAATAGGTAAAAACTCACAAATGACCGGGAGGACTGTAAGTGGAAACACCTGTAGCCCAATTGATATTATAAACGTAGGAGAATACACAGGAGCTTTTACAAAGGAGTTTAGAGAAAATGAATTTGGATCCCTTCCTTCGAAGATTACAGCAGTATTTATACTGAGACTCAAGGGACAAAACATCGTGCATCCACGTTGAGACACGTTCTTGGATGGTGGGAGATGATGGCCTTCGTCCTTTAGCGGTCTTGTCGCCTAGTGAGGAAGGTGTCCTCCTTGCCACGTAGTCTTTTGGATGGATTGCTCAAGTATATTTAATGATTCTCCGCTGATCACGATCACTACCGCTTAAACCTTTCTTGGATTCTTCTCTACCGACAATTCTTAACCTTAGAAATGATACCGGGTTATTTCTGAAGGATTAGCTCCTCGAGATTGGTGAAGATCAGGGTGAGAAGTAGTTTGACCGATATACAATATATCCGAAGGATACCGGTCAACTTTTAAGTCAACCCAACACTGTTTTACTGACGATTCAGGTCCCCCATCTTGGAAAGTCAACCTTGACCGGTTGGAAATTTGAATGTCTTCTTTGACTGGTTCTAGGTGGAATACACCCATCAGTTTGACTTGGCACGAAAATTAAGAAAAATTAAAAAATGTAAAGACTTTTCATGTATTGTCTTTGATGTGATATAATGAAGTAAATAATGTAGAAAAAAGTACAAGTATAATGACACATTCATCAAAAGTTTTTTTCAATACAGAAAACGAGAATTTTTTTTCTGAATAGATCTAAAAGGAAAGTGAAAAAAATTATTGTAAGGAGAGAGTAATTGAGGGAGTATCACTACAAGAAAATCCTTTTTTTGCCGCACCTAAAATTGCTGTCTCCGCACATATAAGTGTGGGAGAGAGCGTTCGCCGCACATGTACTAAGTGTGGCGGCTGGCTCTGTGGGGAAATTTTTACCACACTTATATTAAGTGCGGCAAATGAATACGTTAACCACACTTACTAGTGTTGTTAAGATATTAATTTGTCACATTTATATGTGTTTCTAATGCACCGCACACGAAAATGCGGTAATTTTTACTTGTTTAAAAAAATAAAAACACAATATGTATATATGTATGTGTGTGTGTGTGTATATATATATATCACACAAAAATATCAACAACATTTTTAATATTTTAAATTCATAAAAAGCCTATGTGAGACTGGAACCCACATCTCCGTGCACTTTTGCACACGACACTCTACCATTGAGCTAATAGGCTAAGAAAAATAACACAAATAGTAACCAAGCACTTTTGCACATACATAACACTCTAATAGAAGATTTTTTATTAATTAAAAGGAGAGTGATACTATACCCCATAACATCCCAAAGTAACGGAGCAGCCCTAGCTAAATGCTACTGAACAAAAAATCACAATGACCAACAATTTGTAAACATCCAAAATCTTTAAAAACAAGTTTGATAGATCAAGTATTGTGTTTCCAAGTTGCACAACCCATTTTGGTTCAAAATCCAATGAAAATAATAAACTGTAAAGGAAGTATCAATCAATTGTATATGAGCTCACCAACAATTTGCAAACATCCAAAATCTTTAAAAACAAGTTTGATAGATCAAGTATTGTGTTTCCAAGTTGCACAACCACATTTTGGTTCAAAATCCAATGAAAATAATAAACTGTAAAGGAAGTATCAATCAATTGCATATGCCAAACCATTGTAAATCTTAGAGTCCCTATTTAAGAACAAAAAAAGGTAGTGCTCATTTGTAGAATTGTAGTGTAGCAAATGGTGACTTTGAGATGTTGTTGTTGTAATCCTGAATACAGATCCCTTTATCCAAAATACAAAGCCATACTTTCAATGGAGTAGCATGCTACTCTGCATCATAAGAAGCTGGTCGAATCCTTGCAATGAAGGAAATTTTTTAAGTAGCATGCTACTCTACTCAAGTTTACAAGCCATTATGTGCAAAAGAAACAAAACAATAATATATTAGAATGCCATATTAGTAAATGGTATTACCTCCATCCAAAAAACAATCATGTCCAAGACAAAAATTTAAATAAAGTATTCTACCAAAACTACACATATTACTTAAGAAAGAAACACATGTAAGAATTGATTACAATTATCATCATGCCTGAAAATAATCATATATTAAGACAAAATACTTACAAAATACAAATAGGAGGTCTCTATTAATAGTTGAGATGTTGCAAATTTTAGAAAAATTCTGCACCAAATCAACAACTCAATAAACAAACCCAAAACAGTGGTCTGTTATTTGAAATTAAAGATGAATGTGAAAAGCTTAAATACTAATTTAAGCTCATTAGTTAATCTAAGAAAACTTTATCGAGATGAATGATAACTTTCACCAATCCAACTAGAAGATAAAGATCTCACCAAGATATAACACCCAATCTTCATCGATTGTCAGTAAAAAGATTAAGCTTGTGATAAAAGAAATGATTTATGGCCAAATGAACTTTGCCTATTCAGAAAGACAGATTTGACAATGAGTCTATATATAATAATCTTGCTATATAATCACAACACATCTTTATTGGCACTACATATAATGTTTCCATATATTTTGATAATGGGAAGACAAAATATCCTAAATTTCTCTAATGGTTTTCTTATGATAAGAGGAAGCCAAAAAGCTTTTTATGTCATGTGATGAAACTCAAGCTTAAGTTCAAAGTTAACTTTAATCTCATCTTTCATCACACACTACCAAGACTCCTATTTGATGACATTCCAACTATCAAGAGAATTGATTAGTGTTAGCCTTAGTTTACTAAGCCTCATGTTTTGATGTTAACAAACAATATAAGAGCTTAACGTTTGTTTAAGTGTTTCAGGTAAAATAAGAATCCATTAAGATTCGGTACTCAAGAATGAAGTCGAAACACTAAACTAGCGTAGAATATAGGTTGAAACCAATGTAAGAATATGATTTTATATACCTATATTCACAAGCTCAAAAACACTCACAAAATATGTTTAAAACCATCCCATAAACATTTTCAAATATCTAAAAGGTTTTAAACTCAAACACGAAGGATTAAGGGAATTTTGGAAAACGCAGGACAGTGGTACGGTACCCCAAACGGTACCCCATACCGTCGACACGGTACCCTATACCGCCGGCACGGTACCTCTGTACCGTTAGAGGACAGGTACCGCCAGAGCCGGATTGGTTTGCTGTATTACACGGTACCGAGGTACCGCCACTCACGGTACCCCCTACCGTACGCACGGTACCTTGCTACCGTGAGGACGGTATCGGCCTACCGTGACCGTTGGGTTACTGTTCCTGATTTGTGATTTTGAATTAAATCAACACTAATCACCTCCCAACGGCTAATTAACATATTCCACTATAAATACAAGCCTAATCCTTCATATTTCTTCAAGAAACAAAGCTCTAAACATCCTCTCTTTTTATTCTAAGTGTGTTCATCCTTTTATTAATTATTTTCAATATTTTGGCTATTTTAAGAGCCTTAAATTCCTAATTTTTATACACACACTTTGAGCTTGTGTTTCTAGTTATATACCCTCATATTCATAAGTTTATATTGTATTTTTGAGAGAGTATAATTTAGTTCTACACCGGCTAAGTTTTGTTCTTCATTTTTTTATTCAAGCCGTTGTGTAGAACCTTTGTTTGTGTTCTTCAAACACATCTTTATACGGTCGAGAATAGCCGTTAAATTCTCATATTGTATCGGTCGAGGATAGCCGTATAAATCCTTGGGTAAAGGTTCAAGGATAGCCTTTGAAATCTTTGGGGGAGATAGAAGATAGTCGTTAAATCTTCATTGTAAACGGTTCGAGATAGCCGTGGTGAAATCTCGGAGTGAATCCTATTGGCAAGGGTTGTTTGCCAAACTAGTACGGTGCTTTGACGGAGTTCAAGAGACCGAGACTTAGTGGATTCGGAAATCCTTGAGGAGGAGCCTCGAGGTACTGGAGTAGGGAGTTCCCGAACAAGTATAAATTTGGTGTGCATTTTATTTACGCTTTTATTTTTGCGTTTTATATCTTGCTTCCGCATTTGCCAACACCATTTTTATTAAACTCCGAAAAGTTTTCAAACGCCTTATTCACCCCCCCCCCTCCCTCTAAGGCGTGGGCACAACGATTAAAACGACTAACAATTAGAACATTGTTAAGATTACCTAATATTTCAATTAAAGCAAATCTTACATGAACTTATAAAAATCACTTACTATATGATAATCAGTATATAAGAGAAACACAAAAAACTAGCTAATTTACCTCCAATAGGCTTGTCACTAAGATTAAGCTCAACACAAATTGCCACATTAAAAAATTCATTACCATCAACTCGGTGATTTACAACTTTCTTACATAATCTTGAGACTTTCTCTGCATCTCTCTTCATTAACTGACACGGTATCTTATCGGGATAGGGAAGGTTGAACACCTTCGAGCTATAGAATCGAGGAAAATGAAGAGATTGAGAAAGGAGAGGGGAAGAAGGCCGTTGATCGGCGAGGAGGAGAGGGAGAGTTTAGGGTTAGGGAAATATTTCTTTATTGACTGATTCATAATACTATGGTGATGGATACATTTATAGGCTCCAACTTTAGAGAATCTCAATAATAAATGGTAACTAAATAAATTAAAGTACTAATAACCTAATATAATAATACTTCCTAATAATAATATAATTATCTAATAATAATAGTAAGATAATAATAATGTTAAATAAGTAAATATAGTCTTGTATCACTCTTCCCGCCTCGAAAACCAACTTGTCCTCAAGTTGGAAATCAAATAAAGAATGGGAAATAAATGCACTGTTCATCGTCCATCCTCCGGGGTCAAACACCTTGATCCTTGGAGCACCAAAAGAACGAGTCCGAGAGTCGGAGATACCAAGCCCGTGGCGCCTGTTTGAGTCCATACAAGGACTTTGTCAATTTACAAACATGTCCAGGAAGGTGTTGGTCAACATAACCCGGTGGTTGAACCATATAAAGATCTTCATCAACCTCACCATGTAAAAAGGCATTAGAAACATCTAGTTGTTGAAGAGGCCACCCATAAGACAGTGCAAGTGTAAAAACAAGACGAATTGTCTGTTGTTTGACAACCGGACTAAAGGTGTCTGAGTAATCCAGACCATACTCCTGAGTGTAACCCTTGGCTACCAAACGTGCCTTATAGCGCGAGACCGACCCATCAGCGTTGTGCTTAATCTTGTATACCCACTTGCACCCGATCGGAGATCGACCCTTAGGTCTGGGAACAAGAACCCATGTGTTCTGTTTAAGCAAAGCTGCATATTCTTCATCCATAGCACGACACCAATACTCATTCTGGGAAGCCTCTCTATAAGTTGCAGGCTCAGTGACAGGAGGAATAGAGGTAGAAGGGGTAAGAGCGTAAAGTTTTGGTTTAAAGATGCCGCATTTAGAATGTGTGATCATGGGGTGGGTTGGTCGAGGGAAGGGGACGTGGGTTGGAGCAGTGCTGGTGGTGGACGAAGGAGTAGGGACAGGGCAGGTGGTGGCCGAAGGAATAGGGACGGGGGTGGGACTGGTTATAGGCGACGTTGGGGTGGAGCTAAGGGTATGGTCAGAGGGATGTGTGGCTGTAGGAGGGGTTACGGTGGATGTTGGGGCCAAAGGTGTGTATGGTTGAGTGCTCTTCGGCCCACCCTGGTCGCCCAACCAACAATTGCCGGCCACTCTCCACCCAACACCCAATCCCCTTCTCCGGTACACTCCGCCTGATCTGTGGTTCCCAAGCCCCTTCTATCCTTCCTGTGGTTTCATCCTGCTACGTCCCCTGCCACCTCTTCTCAGGACTATACCCTTTTGACTGAGTACCTTGACTTGTACTGGCGAAATGTAGACACGATTTGTGGAGGGGTCATAGCATCTGTAACCTTTGGTCAACGGCTCATATCCTAGAAAGACACATCGCTTGGAACGAGGTTGTAGCTTGTGATTTGCCTCATGACGAAGATGAGGGTACACAAGACAACCGAAGACGCGGAGATGAGAGTATTCAGGTGGGACGTGATATAGAGCTTCAAACGGAGATTTGTAGTTGAGAGATCGCTTTGGCATACGATTGATAAGATAGTTTGCTGTAGCCAAAGCTTCAACCCAGAATGTGGCAGGGAGAGAGGAAGTGTAAAGAAGGGTAAGAAGTGTTTCAATGAGATGTCTATGTTTACGCTCAGCTACTCCATTTTGTTCAGGTGTATAGGGGCAGGTTTTATGATGGAGAACTCCCAATTGTTGTAAAAAATTCCCAAACTTATGATTAACATATTCACGACCATTATCAGTGCGAAAAATTTTAATGGTTTTGCCAAATTGATTTTGCACCATAAATTGGAAACTTTGAAAAGCACCAAAGGCCTCAGATTTGTGGTTTAGAGGATAAATCCAGCAATATTTAGTATAATCATCCACAAAATTAATATAAAAGTGATAACCACCATTTGATGAAACAGAGGTAGGACCCCAAACATCAGAATGGACTAATTGAAAAGACTCAGTAGTTATAGTAGTAGATAAAGAAAAGGGTAGCTTATGCGACTTGGACACAGAACAAGACTCACAATGAAACAAATATGACTCTTGACACACACCTAACTTTGAAAAAAGAGACTTGGTAACTTGAAACGACGGATGACCCAGCCGACAATACCACTGATGAGGCGTTGTTGTCATAGCATTCGCCACAAGAGGAGCTGCAGCGGGTTTGGACGAAGATGAGCCGTGACCAGACACAACAGGAAGGGTGTATAAGCCACGCTCACATGGGCCTCTGTATATCACTTAATTGGAAGAGTTGCCCAGGATCAGAAATTCCTTATAGGTAAAAAGGATAGAGCAATTATTGTCAGTGGTAAATTTGTGGACAGATAAGAGATGAGTGTTTAGGGTAGGAACGTGAAGGAGATTAGAAATAGTGAAGGTACCTGTAGGTGTAGTAACCTGACCTGAGCCGATATGAGAAATCGGTAGAGATTGCCCCCCAGCTGTGGAGACAGAGTTGGTGCCATAATATGACTAAGGATTTTGCAATCTGGATAAATCATAAGTCACATGGGTAGATTCTCCAGAGTCTAAGTGCCAATTTGGACCAGGATCTGTAGAGTATGCAGTGTAAAAAGCTTGAGGATTGGTGCCGGCAGAGGAGGAGCCCGAAAATTCTTCATTGAACCTATTCCAACACCGCAAGGCACTATGATTCAGTTTCCCACATATTTGACACACAACAGTAGTGTCACTGGTCTGTCCTCGCCCTCGACCTCCGGTACGGCCGTATGGGCGTGCGTCACTGTTACTGCCACCGTAGCGACCAGCCCCCCTGCGGTTGCTGAAGCGTCCACGGCTTCGCCCCCGTTGGTTGGAGGCATACAATGCGGTTGGAAGATCTGTGGAGGAGCTGGAGGACGAACGGAGTTGAAGCTTCTGTTCTAGTTGGATGTTGAGTTCTTCGGAAATCAACCATGATGAGATACTATTAAGCGTGACAGTGGCAATATTTGTCCGAACATTCTGTTTGAGAGATGCATATTCGGGAGGAAGACCACGCAATACGTTAAGTATAACATCTTGTTCAGAGACAGGTTCACGAGCAAGGGCAAGAGAGTTAACAATTTGCAGCGCTTCATCAAGGTATTTTTGCATGCTTGATTGCCCTTTTCTGAGATTATGAAGTTGTTCCTTGAGTTGAAAAATATGAGTCCGGGATAACGAATTATACCTTTGATGTAGATGACTCCAAATTTTAGCAGCGGTATTGCAGTGATACACAAGATTCTTAACGGCAGGTGAGAGAAGTGCAAGAAGAGAAGCACGTAGTTGAGCATCAATGATGATCCATAGATCGTAGGCAGGATTTGCCTTTAACACAAGCCCTTTGTCGCTGGCAGGGGCCTTTTCATCCAGTATGGTCGGCGATGGCATAACTTCCGTTCCTTCCACAAAGCCGAGAAGCTTATGAGCTTGCAACGTAGCTTTAACGGTTGACGACCATGATGGGTAATTGTTGTCTTCCAGTTCTGTGGGAACCAGAGAATGAAAATTTCGTAGAAAGAGTTTTAAGCCACTGGGAAGTGAAAGAAACGGATCTGTTTCTTTTGTTGTCATGCTGATGATCGAACACAAACAACAGAGAGAGAGAGAGAGACGCCGGCGTGCGTGCGGCGGCGCACGAGAGAGAGAAAAACGGGCTAGGGTTGTGGAAGAAGCCTAAGCTCCGATACCATGTTGATAAAAGAATAATTGACTCTTTATTAATTGAATATGGAGAATACATATGTATATAAATAGGAGGTAGATTCCTAACCTAATTAGGAATCATAATGGTAGCTACCTAAATTACAATATTTCCATAAACAATATTTATACTAATTATGAATGTCTAACAACACCGAAAACATTCCCAGTATCAAGTAAACAGTTCCGGGCAACCAAGAGTAGGAATATTATGCAATCACGTGCAACATCCTCAGAATTATAAAGGACAACAACGTCACTTTCTGACGTCCCAAAAGTTTCCATGCATCCATAAAAAATGACACCAGCACTTGAATATTTTGCTTGGACAGTCTGGTCTCGTTGATCGTCACCAGAAACATCAACAACAACATCAACTACGGTAACAGGAACAACAGCTATGGGATCAAGAATAAGATCATCATCGGGAACGCCAACCGGATCAATAAAAATTTCTTTTTTAAATTCCTGGTCCTGCAAAGTTGTGTTTTGCACAGGTACAGGAAGGGCCGAATCTCGTGGAGTGCCGATTAGTTTCTTAATAGAGCGCATCATGGTTGTTTTGAAAATGTATAACTCGATAGGAATCAGGCTTGACATAATTGGGAGACCACGAACTAAATTTTGTATTGAGCAAAAGGCCTCTACGGAGAATGCATATACCTCGGAATCAAATTTTGGTTGACCTTCAATTGGACGGAATGCCTGAAGATTCTGTATAATTTCATTCACGAAATCTTCAACTGCACACACGCCTTCATAAAATTCGATTTGGTCCCGTAGAACTTTCTCGAGTAAATCAAGAACTTTGTCCAACAGAGAATCCATTGCCAAAAGAAACACCACCACAAAAAATTGAAATGAACTTTGTGGCTGTTTTTTTTGTATAGAAGTGATAAAGCAAAGCAAATTGGAAATTGAAAACTCAAATCTTCTTTGCGTGGGCCGAAGCAACCAAATTGAGGAATTATGCGCAAGCAAATATTTTTTTTCTTTGCCAAGCAATTATGCGCAAGAAAAAAAAACCTGATGGAGTTCTTCACAAATCAAATAACCTTGCAGCTGTCAACCTGATGGAGTTCTTCACAAATCAAATAACCTTGCAGCTGTCCCTTGAATTGTGGCACAACTAAGAGAAAAGAGCCCGACGGCGGCAAGTTTGATGGCAGTGACTACTCTTTTACTCTTTTTTTTGGGTGAGTTCAAGAATGAGAGCACCAATTGATACGGTATCGTATCGGGATAGGGAAGGTTGAACACCTTCGAGCTATAGAATCGAGGAAAATGAAGAGATTGGGAAAGGAGAGGGGAAGACGGGCATTGATCGGCGAGGAGGAGAGGGAGAGTTTAGGGTTAGAGAAATATTTCTTTATTGACTGATTCATAATACTATGGTGATGGATACATTTATAGGCTCCAACTTTAGAGAATCTCAATAATAAATGGTAACTAAATAAATTAAAATACTAATAACCTAATATAATAATACTTCCTAATAATAATATAATTATCTAATAATAATAATAGTAAGATAATAATAATGTTAAATAAGTAAATATAGTCTTGTATCATTAACTCACGCGCCACCAATTTCTTTTAGAAGAATAAGTTGCTCCGGATCCACCATTCATATTAGTGATGCTATATGCAGATCAATAAAAGGAATCATTGTCTTCCCTAGCCTGCTTCAACAGTGAAGACTTAAGAACTATCTACAAAAACATATCTAAAGAGAAATTATCCTTAGCTTGCTAAGAAGTAATAATTCAAGATGAAGAAAGAAGTAATGATCCAAACATAAGAAGCTACAACAAACATACAAACTAATGAACCTGATGAAGAAGCACTCTGAAATGATTGCAAGACCTGCCATCGTTTTTCATCAGTGCCCACTGTCCCAAAAGAGATAATACTATTTCTCATTGAGTTAACGAGTTAATGATGTCTCTACTTATATTATGTTATCCATAAAAGTGAAAATGGACGTGGCGAGCTTGCGAGTCGGAGCAATGGAAGAAAAAAAGGCCAAATACCTCTCGTGCCTTCTGTTTTAAATACTGCTTTCTAAAGTCTTCGTTGTTTCAAAATATTGCACCCACACCCCTCTAATCATTTTTTGACCATTTTTCGGCGAAGATAAAGCATTGACGCATAATTTCTAAACCATAGGGGACATTCGTGCTCATTTCTTATTTTTCGTTTATTATTTGTATTTCACTTTTTTTTATATATTTTCTATCTCTGTTTTCTTTTCCTATAATTTTTTTTAAATTTCTTTTTAATTTTTTATGATTTTTTTAAAAAAATTTTTGTGTTTGAAATAAAAATGAAAATAAAAAAATTTACATAGATTACATCTATCTCAAATTAAATATTTTCACTTTTTGTTACTTAGAATAATTTTTTGGAAAGTTCAAAAAGAAAACCCAGAATAAAAAAATAAAAAATATGGAAAAACGAAATGAAAAAAATTAAAATATGCAAAAAAAGTCTTATACAAAAAAATTTAGACACGCTTAAAAAAGTCCTTAGAATTGAGATGTCCAAAAAAGATATTCATTTTTATTTTTTTATTATTTTTTTCCTTATTTTATACCTCGTTTTTTTAAAAGTTTTCAAAAAAAATTTAATTTTTTTCATAAAAACAAAAAATTATTAATTTGAGACATACACATGCATTATATGTTAATTTTTTCAAAAAGAATAACATTTATTTTTAAGAACATTATATATATAGTTTTTAAAAAAGATTTATTAATAGATGAAACAAATAGAGGAAAAAATGGAAAATACAAAAGATAAGCGAGAAATAAAAATTAGCACTGATATCCCATATGGTTTAGAAAATGTGCACCAATGTCCTCTTCTTCGCTGAAAAAATGGCCGGAAAATAATTAGATAAGACACGAATACAACATTTTGAAATCATAAAGACTTTAAAAATAAATTTTTAAAATTTATGGCATATTAGTGCCTATTTTGGGGACGTGGATACTAGCTCTATTTGGCCAAAAAACACAGTAAAACTGAACAGTGGCAAAGCTTTATTTATTGCATGGAGCAAGACAAATGTTGAAAGGGATGGAGAACAGATGTCGACCATTCATGGAACTATGGTTAAAGTTCTCAGGCACGGCGGGCTCTCGGTCTCATCCGTTACCCTTAAATCATGCCAGAAATTTCAATTTCTATCTCAAATTCACGAGAACCCCACTCCCTCAGTGTTCCTTTCTCGTTTCCGCATTCTCCGATTCGCCCAAATTACATCTGTTTCAACAAAAATGGCGTCGGAAATTGCTCGGATCTGCATTCAGCAGCTTCTGAAGGCGGTGAACTCCCTGATAGGGTTAACCGGGCTCCTCGTTGTCGCGTACGCCCACTGGAAGTACAGCACCTCTCTGGAGAGCATTGGTAGCCCAGATGAAAACCTTAACCTCTGGTAAATTTCCTCTTCCCGAACAGAGATTTTCAATGTGTTATTTTCGTGCTTATTTCCGGTGCTGGGTTTTGGGGTTAAAATTAGGGTTTGTTTTTTCAGGTTTCTCTACGCTTCTCTATGTGTTGCCATAGCTTTGTGTTTAGTGGCCTGCTTAGGTCATGCTGGTGCAGAGACTGCAAATGCATATTGTTTGAACAGTGTATCCTCTATGTTAGCTTTTCTGTCATTTCAAAAGGAAAGCTATGAACACTTTCGAATTGCTTCCAATTCTTCCTGCATTCTGTGTGCTGTATATGGTACTAATCTTTGTTTTTACAATGTTGACAAATGAAACAAAACTCAACCTTTTTCACTTGTCATATAAAGTAATGCAAAAATAAGAACATAAGTAGAAATGTGTATCATGTCAAGTGGCATTCTTTTAAAACAATATTTCTGGTTTTTTGAAGATTAAAACTGGTTGGTGACAGAGATAGATCAATGTTCTTTTCTTTTCTCTTGAACCATTGATAGAGGATGAGAGGGTCTCTGATCTTTTTGCTGTATTCCTTGGGTCTCATTCATTAAACTCCTCATTTTTGCAAGATGCAACTTCAGTGAATGTTTTGAGTAGAACATATGACTGCAAGTTGCATCTTGGGCATCTGAAAAGCTATGTTCTAGTAAATAATTGAATGAAGCCACTTATAGAAAAAAAATACGAAGTTAAAAAATGGAAGTTTATATTGACACTTCAACATAAGTAATGGTACTCTAAATTTGCCATTGAAAAACATAAATATCACTCACCACTTTTGCTAAGTTATTATTCTATATTTTTATCTTTCAATGATAAATTTGGTGTGTCATTATCAATGTTGCAGTGGCAATATCAATTCCCAAAAAATACTCTGTATTTCTTGAGGAAGCATTTATCACAAGTATGAACACCCCATTTTGGTATCCTAAAATAGCCCCTACATTCCCTTTGATTAGTTATTACTCGTATTATTCAATATTCTTAGATTACTTGATTATAGATTCTGCATATAATGGCTTGTTTATGTTGCACAATCTATAGCACTGATAGTGGTTAGAGTACATTTATGTTCTGTATTATTTTATTGGAAAATTGCTCTATGGTCAGCTTATTTTCCTTAATAGGCATAGTATTTGGTTTTGATGTTTCTCCTTCTCCTGGTAGAAGTTCACATCGGAACGTTTGTATTCTTAAACAATGACTGGAAAGAGGTATTCAACTCTATTCTGCATGCTACATTTTAATAAACAGCACATCAATAGATGACTTAAACAAGTTTCTTGGCTGCTGTTTTCTGGCTGATCTGACTATATCAGTGCATTCCTGAGGACCCAACTGGGGCGATTGACGAGATTAGCGATTTTATTGCAAGTAATAATGGGCTTTGCCAATGGGCTGGCCTGTTACTAATGATCATCCAGGTAACTACTGCTTTTCTGTCTTTGATTTGAAAGACACACCCTCTATCAGTTGTACACACACCCATGTCTTAGCTTCTGCCAATTTGTGTTGATTGATTTTATAACTTTGTACTGTCTTGTGTAACTAAAGTTGATCTCTCTTCTGCCATTTGTCCTAATTCCTAATCCCGTGTAGGGGTAAGGTTATGTACACACACCGTTCTCACAGAAAGTACAGATTGTGGACAATACTGCCTTCATCAATTAAGAATGAAACTGGCAATAAAGTCATCCCATTGAGATTGAGGCTATAGAAATCGACTTCTTCCTATATCTGGCAATTTATTCTCTACTAGTTTTACATGCCACCAAGAAATATGGTCTCACAAAATGAAATGTTTTCTACGTGTGCAGTCATTGTGTGCTACTCTTGCACTGCTTCTCCATGCCATTGTTGAGCCAATGAGCAATGGTGTGTATGATCCAATCTCTGGGAGAGCCCCACTTTTGCCAACTTATGTTCGTCTCCCATTCCATTGATAGCGCGATTTACTGCAAGGTATTTGGTCAGAGTAAATTCAATTCAGTCGCTTGGTATCGTTAACCGGTGCACATTTAAGGCTTCATGTGTGCTAACATTCACCTGCTTTTTTTATGATGATAAGGAACTGCAGAGGCATGCAATAAAGAGGTTTGGTGTCTCTGGCTTCTTATGATGTGTTTTTGTATATTTTAGTTCTAATGGTGTAAGATGTGTGTATTTTTTTCATTATTTGTGTTTTATTTATTTAACCCCTTTTTGTGTGCCTTTATTGTGGTGTAAGACTGTTTTTCCTCCTACTAATGAATTGTGGAATTCCAGACTTCAAATTTTGACCATTTCATTGTATCCAGAGAACTCAATTACTATACATTGTTGGTATTATGTCTCTTGATCTTCAATATGTGAATGAATTCATGAATATCACAAGGAGTGATTTTTATGCAATATCAGTGTATCTCGTTGAAATGGTTAAACCCATTTGGGATGACTTATGAAAGAGTTGCATAGGTTTCTGTCAAATTTCGTGCCAAAAAGAAAGGTTAATTGTACATACACCTCCTATGGTTTGTATAAATACATTCAACCTCCCTGTAAAGTTTAAGAAAAATTGAGTTTTGTTGTTGGGGTTAATAGCATGGGCACCTTGTAGTTTACAAAAAGAGTGTCAAAACCCTCCTGTTTTCAAAAGTTATTTGTAAAGTCCATGTGGTTTCTAAATAGAGCACACATGCCCCCTTACCTATTTTTAAAACAAAAATGACATTTATGTCCTTTGTTTTCCCTGATCTTGAATTTTTCCGATTTCAATTTACTTTATTATACAAATATATAAAATAAAATATATGCTTCCCATCTCAAATTAGAATTTTTCATAATGTACTTTTGAAAACAAAATATTTTTTGGAGAATGTTACAAAAAAATGAAAAATAAAATATTATGTACAAAGTAAAAAGTAATAACAGTTAAAAAAAGTAATGAAAAGAAATAAAAATATAAAAAATTGTCTTTTTCTTTAACTCTATATTTTATTTCATCTTTCTGTTCTTCATTTTTAAAGTCCTTAAAATTATTTTATTTTTAAAAACAAATAAGTTAGAAGTTTTAACTAGAGATAGAGTGAGTATATGTTATCCAATTTTTTATTTTATTTATTTTACTTTTACTTATAATGAAAAAATGTATTTTATTTTATTTTTGTAACATTTTCTAAAAAATTATTTTTAAAAAAAAATTAAATAAATGAAAATTTTTAATTTGAGAAAGAGGGCGTATATTTTATTTTATTTATTTGTATAGCAAAAAATGTAAAGAAAAGAGTGAAATTTGAAGATAGAGAAAAGCCAAGGGCAGAAATATCATTTCATGTGTAAAATAGGCAAGAGGGGGTATCCGTGCACCATTTAAAACCACGAGAGTTTTACAAATAACTTTTGAAAGCAGAGGAGGTTTTGGCGCTCCTATTGTAAACCACGGGGGGCATCCATGCTTTTATCCCTTTGTTGTTGAAGTGATACAGAAGAGAAAAAAGACTCTGATCCACTTAGAGTGTTCTAAAAAAAAGAAAAATAAGACTTTTTTGGGACGTCTCCAAAAGAAAATAAAGGGTCTTTTTTGAAACGGAAGGAGTAATATTTGATTAGATGAAAGAGAAAAATTGTAAATTACATATTCTTTTTTTCAAATGAATTACTCTTTTATCAACGTGTAAAATCTCATTTTTTTAAATTTATTTTATTTTGAACAAAAATTATTGAGACACTCTAATTGTAATCGGTAGTACGTATTGATAGGAGAGAGGGTAAATGTGTTAATTATACAAACAATAAGGGTGTATGTGCAATAAATTAAACCCTAAAAAGACATGAATTTTCAACAAAAATAAAACAGAGATAGGTGGGACAATAATCTCTCTACCTAAGAATATAAACACCAATAGCTAATCCTAATATAGAATTATATTAACATTAAAAATTGATACGAGTAATTTACATATTTACATAACAAATACTTTGATGTTATAATGAAAATGAAAGTATTATATCAAAAAACCTAAATTCTTCGTAATTGATTTTACATACGATTTTTTTGGAAGTATTTGAAATCTTCTAAATGTTTGTTGGACACTCAACACATATTTTTTTATGTAAAATTGAACCCAAAGGAACAATAACCTTCCGTTTGGTTTTTGTTTTTGTGTAAAAATCAAACAAAAAACCAAAGCTAACACTACATATTGTTATTGTTTCATCGAGTTAGTGTTTTTACAATTTTTTAATGCTTATAAATTTCTACTTTTATAAACCGAAAAAACCAAAATAAAAATCGTATAAAACCAAACCAAATAACCAACGATTTATATATTTTTTTATGCAAAATCGAACCGAACCAAACCACCAATTTACCTTCCGTTTTGTCTTTGGTTTTGGGTAAAAACGAACCGACAAAACCGAACCCACCCCTGTTGTAGAACTCTCCCATTTTGAATGCTATCTCGTAGAACAGTAGAAGTCGCTCAAGTCCGTATATTGTCATTGACAGTTAAGCACTGGACGCCAAAGGGCCGCAAACAGTCTAGCGAAATTAACGCCTAAACTGACGGCGGGTCCCAAAATAAAAGCTAGTGGCAGAATCGTGAATAAACCAACTCACCAAGGATCACATGGGAACCAAAACAGAACCACCAGCTTTTCCGCAGAGTTGCTTTATATAACGGCAACGGAGGGAGCCTCTCTGTCTCTCAGTTCTTCTTCATTCTGCTCCCGACTCTCCGGCCGGCCGCGCAATCGGAGCTCTCCACCGCCTCCGCCTCCCTCCACATTATGGAAACTCACAGCTGTTTCTTCGCGGTGGCTCTGGTCGTCTCCTCCTCCGTTCTCTTCGCTTCCGGGGACTCCCTCCGTCCTTTCGCCCGAGGATGGTACTCTGCCACCGCTACATGGTACGGAAGCCCCGACGGCGACGGCAGTGACGGTATCCTCTCCATTCCCTCCTCACTTTTCTCGGAGCCTCACATTTAGGAGGAATTTTAATTGCAATTTTGATAGCTGAAATCTGGAAAAAATGAGTAATAATTTTATCTGAAATCTGGAGATCAAAATGAAATTGATGTGGGGAAAATGGTGATTGTGTGTGCGGGAAGCAGGTGGGGCGTGCGGGTACGGGACGATGGTGGACGTGAGGCCGTACAGGGCGAGGGTGGGGGCGGTGAGTCCAGTGCTGTTTAAGAACGGCGAGGGCTGCGGCGCCTGCTACAAGGTCAAGTGTTTGGACAGGTCTATATGTACGAGAAAGGCAGTCACGGTGATTATCACTGACCAGGCTCCTGACCGCTTCAGTGACCGTCCCCTTCTCGACCTCAGCGGTGCTGCCTTCAGCCGCATGGCGGTCACCGGCTACAGTGGCAGCCTCCGTAACCGCGGCGAGATGCCCGTCATTTACCGCCGGTGGGTACTCCGATCCTTTTTCACTCTACTCTGCTTTATTGCTCTGTATTTCTTGCTTTACGAGGCTTGACTGAATTTAATTTCAATTCAATTTAATTGATTATAGGAGTAAAATTTTAAAATAAAATTTATATAGTAATAAACTATATGAAAAGTTCTACAAAACTAGAGGTGACAAAACTATATTATTTTATAAAATGACTAGTAAAATTGAGTAAATAAAATGAGTAAAGTTTGACCTTCTGAATAGTGTCTGGGAAGATCTACGGTGGACAGAGTGAGTATTAAAAATGTATTACTCTGTACTCCATCCGTCCCAAAAAGTTTGTTACGTTTAGAAAAAACTGCGTCCCGTAAAGTCCGTTACATTTCTATTAAAAAACTACTTTTACCCCTTACTTTTTTATATCCTACCTATCACATCATACTTTTTTTCTAATAATCTACTCATTCACATCCTACTTTTACCCATCACATCAAAGGTATTTTTGGAAAGTCAATACTAAAATATCCCTCCTTTAAATTCCCAAAAAGTCAAATCGTTTCATTCTTTTTGGGACGGTGGGAGTATATGATAGATGGATAAAAGTTCATAGAAATAAAACTAAGTTTTTAATATAAAAAAACAATAAAAATAAAGAAAAAGATTATTTAGGGAGAATGGAGTATATGTGTTCAAACGTCAAAGTGGTTTACGGCTCTGTAAATACTAAATAGGCAGGTATTGGGAAATAAGTACCGTGTCAATGGCTAGGGACTGGTTAGTCAACGGTCTTTTATTCTATTGCCATTTTTACAGCTTTTAACTGTCCTTTTTTATCGGTTTTGAGTCGCTATTTCCGAGTAAGATTACAACCATAAACTAAAAACTTTACCCAAGTTACTCTAAAAGAAGAATACATGTATATTTTTACCATTCACACTTACACAAAATACTAGTTTAATAAAAAAATATATTGACATTTTGTGTTAGTATAAACTATCATACAAGTATCACCCAGATTTAGCTTTTGGTTCTCGAATGTTTGTGTTTGTTATTTTGAATGATTGTTTAGTTTAAGTGATTAGATATGTTGATTTGATTAGATATGTTGATTGATCGTTAAAAATAATTGGTAAAATTTGTTGAATCGCTTCTTTGACATTGTTTCAAAACTTTGAAATTAATTTTCATATTCAAGGCTTGAGCAATAATATAACTTGCGTACAACAACAAGCTGATGGAGTTTTGGTTGAATTAATTCTTTGACAGGAGAAACTAGTAGATATGGTTAACTCTTCTTCAGTTTATGAATCATAGATATAACTACAATCATACAATAACAATAACAATAATAATAATAATGTATTTCATATACTAATATAAAAGTGAAATAAGGGGGTGATGCATGTATAATATAATAAAAATGCAGGACGAAATGCAAGTATCCAGGGAAGAACATAGCCTTCCGGGTGAACGAGGGCTCAACTGGCTATTGGCTTTCCCTTTTGGTCGAGTTTGAGGAGGGCGATGGAGATATTGGCTCCATGCACATCCGACAGGTACAATTCCATTTTCATCATTTCTCGATCACTTTAATTACTTACTCTAATTCAATTCATTTTTCCTTTTTAGTTTAATTGATCAATTTTTCCATGGCTGAAACTAACTACTCCGTAATTAATTCAAAATTAGTGGTGGATGATCATATAATTCAAAAAGTGTGGAGGCACCCTATAAAAAGGTTGTGCCAAATTTTCTCGACCGCGCACTAGCTACAAAAGTCGCACTCCACTCTACTTTTTGTTTTTGTTTATCAAATTACGGAGTATACTTTTAAACGTACCACTAATTCTCGTGATTGCTCCTTTAAAAAAGTTTTGATAATACGGCCGGCTCAATTTCACCCTTTAATTTTTTTTTCAACTTTATCCTTTTAGTGCATGGTTCAAATGAAAAAATGAGAATAAATAAAAATGCATATGATCGATTAGATAACTCG